TATCAACAACAATGTAGAGAAATAATCTCACAGCAGGTTCAAAGGTAGATAGATCTTAATATTTGTACATATATCAATCTTTGTGAATATCAAGTTGAGTTGATTCTTTTCTAAATTCATTGTTTCATTTCATATTTATTGAAATTTTGTCGTGCTTGATTTTCCCCAAAAAAAAAAAAATTGGGATATGTTTTGTTTGTTATTTTGAAACAGTTTTGAGTTTTCTCATGAAATTTATTTGGTTCAACTTTCCTCCATGAAGAATTTCTTGCTTTTGGGAAATACTAGTTATGGATAAAAATTCCCTTTAAATGTATTTTAAAATTAAAGAAAAAAACAAATCTAGATAGGTTAAGATTGGATTCGAGAATCAGCTTGAGCTCTAAGCTGTTGAAAGCAAAGATTTCTACGATAGCATTACAAAGCTGAGGTGGCCATGCTTGTCATTTAGCTTAAATTATTTTTATTTAAATAGGGCTAATCACAAAATCCCCTTATGATTATTGAAATAACAGAAATCTCCTTATAGTTAAATTTGTTAGTGTTAAAAACTTAAAATAAAACATTAGAGAGGCAATTACATAAATATTTATTAATCTACTTAGTTATAAAATCTGACTGTTAATTATCTTTAAATGACTGAATGGTTCAATAGAGATTTTTGGATATATTAATCAATAGTTTTTGAGTTTTAGTTTTCTCTTTGTTGTTAATAGAGATAGTCTTTTGTGTTTTTATTTGATTGATAGTTTTAAGATCTTGAAAAATTAATTGATCTGAACACTCTTAGTCCTTAGAAGAAAAATCTAACGGTTCATTAATTATAAGAAAATTTTTGTTATTTATAAAATTTTGAAGAGACATTTGTATTTTATCAAAACCCCGGGGGGGAAAGAGAAATTTGTATTATTAATATTTAACAAGCATCGGTTGATATCGGTGGATGGTGGATCCACCACGCAGCTGGTCATTGACCACGACAATTGGGATTTCTGAACGCTCCACGTAAGCAACCAAACACTACAGCGTTAAGTTTCCTTCTACTTTTATGTTTTATTCGGGTTAAAAAGTTAAATAAATCAATTATTAAAAAATTGTCTATTATTTTTCCTTTAGTATTTTATAAAAATATCCTCTAGTTAATAATTCCCGACTTTACTCTAAAAGGCTTTATTCTTTTAATTATTATTATTATCTTTTTCTAAAGATTTTATTTAATTATTTAAGATTTATACATACAGATTATCTAATTGATGATGTATTTATTCTTTAATAAACACATGAATACTGTATTTGAAATACAAAAATTGTTTATCTTTTTAATGGTTATTTAATATTTATAAGATTATTTAATTTGAAACACATTCAAACTTTTTCTAGAATTATTTGCAATAAATAAAATTATTTTAAAATTAGAAATTTTTTAATAATTATAAAAGGTTTTAGCATACTTTAAATTAAATAATCCTTTTAAAATTGTAAATATAAAATTAGATAAGTCTCTAATTAATTAACTTTTGTAACTTTCCTAATCCTACTTCAGGTGGAATGAAATATATTTCATTCAAATCAAGGCCGTCCACTCAATCAAGTCGAAAACATTCCTTAACATCACGGAATGTCCTACTCTCATCCTGAACCGTCCGATCGTATTCTATATTATCTGACCCTTTATATAAACCTCACCCCACCATGCTTTGGCTTCTAACCAACGCAAATCAAAGCAAAGCAAAGCAGGCAAATTCAGAGACGCAGAAGGAAACATCAGCAGCTATGGCGGCAACCTTGTCTTCTCCGTGGGCCAAGCCTGGCGCGTGGGCTCTGGACGCTGAGGAACACGAAGCTGAACTTCAGCAGCAGAAAGAAGAGCAAGATAGCAATAACGAAATCGCCGATTTCCCATCCCTAGCCACCGCCGCTGCCACCAAAACCAAGAAGAAAAAGGGCCAGACTCTCTCCTTAGCCGAGTTTAACTCCGTTAGCCAGCCGACACAGCCGAGCCGATCACAGGGCCTTACTCATGAAGATCTCCTTGCCCTCCCCACCGGTCCCCGTCAGCGCTCCGCCGAAGAACTCGACCGCTCTCGTCTCGGCGGCGGCTTCAAAAACTACGGCTCCAATAATAGATATAATAACAGTTCTTTTGGTTCCAATAACAGTGAAGATTCGTCCGGCTCCCGTTGGGGCTCTTCTAGGGTTTCTAATAGGGATTCGAATAGAGAATCTCAGTCGTCACGTGCCGACGAGATCGATAATTGGGCTGCCGCGAAGAAGTCTGCGCCCGCCCCGAGGAGTGGGGGGTTCTTTGATTCGCAGTCATCCAAGGCTGATGAAAGTGACAGCTGGGTTTCGAACAAGACTGAAACTCGGAGTCGATTCGGTTTCAACAGTGGTGGCGAGAGGAAGAGTAGTTTCGATTCGTTGTCGAGAGATAGAGATAGAGATAATTGGGGGAAGAAAAGAGAGGAGAGTAGTGAGAGTGAGAGGCCAAGGCCTAGGCTGGTTTTGCAGCCACGCACTATGCCTGTGAGTGACGGGGGTGCGAATGTAGTGAAACCTAAGGGGGTGAATCCGTTTGGAGAGGCGAGGCCGAGAGAGCAGGTGTTGGCGGAGAAAGGGATGGATCCGAAGGAGATTGAGGAGAAGCTTGAGGCGGTGAAGATTAAAGAGGAGAAGGCTGATACGCCCTCGTTTGGGAGGAGAGGATTCGGTAATGGGCGTGGTGGGTTTAATGAGAGCAGGAGTTGGAGGAAGAATGACTCCGACTCTGTTGATTCAACCATACAAAGGTTCGTTTCTTGTGACAACTTTAATCTCAAAATTTAAACTTTTTTATGACAATTATGATCCTTATAAGAATGGCTAATGTTGATGTTATGATGATTGTCTTTACACAACCCATTGTGATAAATGTTTTTTACTTGGAATGCTATGGTTTTGTGGAATTTTAGAGTTTGGTGAAGTTTACTTGAGGATTACTATACTTTATAACTGGTTTGGATGTGGCGTTTGGAAAAACTTATTACTAAGTTGGTGTTGTCAATGTTTATAACAACTCTTTAGGTCTTTAAATTGATCTATAATAATTTCTTCTTCTCTATAATTTATTTGTAGTAACTGCAATGGCTTGGCATCAGATTAGGGCCTGTGCAACTTTGAAAGTTTTTTTATTGTGGTGTTTTGCTCAATGCAATGACATGATTGTGTGGCACATCCAGTTTTCTGTTACTACTATTGCAAATGAATTTATTCTTATTTGCACATGCAAACAAAAATCCAATTCCCCTGTTTGGTTTCTGCATAATGTACAATATTAAGTTCTTAAGATTAAATTACTTGTCTATGGGCCTTTATCAATGATAATAAAAAGCCATTGAGTCCTACGTATAGGCAAGAATATTTACCACCTTTTCTGTTGAGAGTTACACATGATAGTCTTACTAGAAACGAAACATCAGAACTAAGCCTCTATTAAAATTTAAATTGCTTTCAGTACATGAAAGTACACCCAAAGACTTTAGTTCATTAAAACTTTCTTTTCTTAATCACAAGTATATCAGCTTCATACCGACCTTGATCTTAGAACATGGAACATGATCAAATGGTTGGTTGTGGACTAGGTTTGTGTTGCTGAAGAGGAAGAGACTTGGAGTGTAATGTAAACCTTCTAGCATTAATTCAATAGAAAAGGTGTTCCTGTTTGATATTCAATTTTGGTTGAGGCAGATTTTGTGTTGACAATATGTGCTTGTTGGTAATTTTTATTAATATTTTTTGGTGGTTTGCACCCTAATTTGAGGTCAGTTTATGCATTTATGTATAATGTGTTGGTGTTTATTATGTGTTTGATACTACCTAATGACCTGCTAAACTCTTATCTAATCTAATATTTGTTTTCTTTTGGGTCCAGTGCTGAGGAAACTGAGAATGGACATTCTGAAGTAGAAGTTGAGAATGGGCATACTGAGGAGAAACATGACAATGGACATGTTGATGAGAATTGAGTATAGAGATTGACAAATGTGAGGGAAGGAAATATTGAACTTAATAGAAGCCTAATGTGTTGAATTCGTCGACTGTTAATCAACTTGTTTGTTTCCATAACTTTTACTACAGTGGGATGCCGTAATTAGACAATTTTGGTAGGCTAGTTTGGCCAATTCGGCTTGTTTTGTAGTAGTGTTCCGTTTTAGAATTATCCATGTTGTTACTGTTATGATATTAAATTTTATTGAACTCTGTTTTCCCTTTTGTTTTGGGTGACTCGGTACATTATTAATTGGGTTCACGAGATGGTGGATCTTTGATTGTTTTGAAATGGTGATCCAATAAATCAAGAAAAGATGATTTGTGTGTGGAATTTCACCTTCCATTTGTTGCTCTTCCTAATTTTCTGTTTGCATTATGTGACATTTCCTTGCTTGGAGCATCTTGCAGAATTGTACTTGTAGCCTAGTCCTTGAACCTGAAAGAAAGGTTGTAGAAAATCTCATTTTGGGTGTGTAAAGATTTAGTGGGTTTGAAATTATACAATGCAAAGGTCAATTTTGTATGATGATTCCAATTATAAATAATGTGGGGTTGCTTGCCTGGTCGATTATTTATCAACAGGCTTTTGTCTCTAATCTGTGGCTTGCATGTCCAGGTTTTGAGGAGCATCATCTTTTCTCTCTGCTCATAATTTGGAACTTACAACTACTACTTGTTATTATAATGTACAGATTGCCGCTGCAAATCTGAGATGACGAATGAGCTGGAATTCAACCTTTTACTAGCACTAAATTATTTCAAAAACTAATCAACCAAACGCAGCCACCATTAACATATAATTACAATTTGAGTCTTTTTGCAGATTTAAAATTTAAGAAATGCAAATGCCAATATGTTCCAAGATTTCTGAAAGAGGAACTTCCATTAACACCAAATCGAACTTTTGGCTGCAAGGAAGACATTTCAGATGAACTTTCAAGATGCCCATCAGTTTTTTTATGCAAAATTTCGATATATGCAGGTTTGTGGGAATGGGAATGGGAATGGGAGTTGGAAAAATTACTTCAATATAACAATCATATTATATAATTAAGTGTTAGGTGAGATGAACTATTTGTTACAGCATTAATTAATAAATAGAAAACAATCATAATACTAAAAAGAAATATGCGTGACAAAAGAAAGGGATTGAAATGATGGTTTTGGAAGCAAGCACAACATCTCACCATTAAAATCAAATCCCATCATTTAAAGTCAATCAATGCTCTTGGAAACTTTTACATCAACCAACACCCACCAACAGCTAAAAGTTCAAACACAGCGGTTTGAAAGCTTCCCACGTCTCAAGTTGATGAAACTCTGCTGTATGTGTGTGGGATGAAGTGTGGAATCAATAAAGAAGCCATTGCTAGCATTTAATTCTACAGGCAGTTTCTCTTTACTTTAACACGTTAAAGAGATTGGATCCAACATGACTGTATGGTCATGAATAATACAAACCAGCTTTCACATTACCACTTTCTAGAACACATTTCATTCATTTTTTAGAAGAAAAAAAATATCAAACATATAAAGTTTTGTACATATATATAATTAAATTGTCGTCTATATGATGAGTAATGTTAGGTCAGTTTATACACATTTGCGCTATCTCAACTAATCTTCAGGGTCTATTGAATATTCTATAAGGTCAATGTGTTATAAGATAAGTCACAAATGTAATAGATGACCTCAAGGTTATTCGAACCTAGAAATTCAATGAAGAGAGTAAACCTTCTTGATTGTCAGGCCAACCTGTGGAGTTTATATACAAAATTTATGTGTAACACTCTTTCAAACCGACTTGCCTTCCTCATCAATGGCCTTAATGGCCTTAATGCTTAGACTCTCAAATAATTACCAAAATTTAATGCCATTAATTCACTATATGACTTATTTTAAGAGGAAACATGCTACATCTTGCAAGAACTATTGGCAAAATGTATTGACATTCTTCTCTTCTTAATGAGCAAGTATAATTAGCAACAAGAATTAATAAATTTTTTTCTACCTACTTTGTATACAAAATCTTGGCAACAACTCATCTGTGACTAATTTCATCAGTCTTTAATGAAATGGCCGTACTGTTTCATGCTTCTTTTGGTTTTGAAATCAAATTTTCTACACTCATAAATGTTGACAGTTGAGAGTTGACACAGAAGGTTCACCACTACACCTTATTTATTTACTTCCTTCCTGACAAGTGCAACTGCGATCACAAAACAATAAACACTTTCTCTCTTTCTTTCTTGCTTTGCTTGGTTGGCCTCTTAAACAGCTCAAATTTAAGTTTCATGGATTGGTCAGGCAGCAGGTGCTTCCTCTTCACAGCCTTTCTCATTCTTGCAGCTGCCATTGATGCAACTCTAGCAGATACCACAGTCTCTGGCACTGTCTTCTGTGACCAATGCAAAGATGGCCAATTGTCCCTCTTTGATTATCCTGTTTCTGGTGAGTGAGATCCATTACCATTACCATTAAACTAATATCCAATGCTCTAGTTGATTCACAGTGCCTTCTTGATTTTCTTTACTATAATCCCTTGACATATTTTTGAAAAACATTGGTGATTGTTTCATATCATTGTGTGTTCTCTTCATATTTCTCAACATTAAACGGCCAAATGATAAAAGGGTATCCACTTAAAAATGTTTTTAGCACTTATATTAATGTATTTATGAACTTGATTTAGTGCTGTAAATAATGTTGAAATAATTGACTCGTTCTTTTTAGTTGAAAAAAAAAAAAAAGTTCCTGTCAAAGATAGATTTGTTTACTAGTCGAAGTCTCGGAGAAGATTTCCTATTTTTTGTAGAGATTGTTTTAACATGTGAACATTATAGGACCATATAGCTTGATCATTGTTTACTTTTCGTTAATTAAGCCTGTAAAATCAGATAAGTTTAGCAGCTTTTTAATCTCTTGCAGGAATTAAAGTTAAGGTCACTTGCGCTGATAGTAATGGGCAGATTACAACGTCAAGAGAAGAGACAACAAATTGGCTTGGCAATTATGCAGTGAAATTTGATGGCACCCCAAACTTGGGTAATTGTTTTGCTCAGGTTTCTGGCAGTGACCAAGAATCTACAGCTTGTGGTGCAGCTGCTGGTCCTGCCCAAAATCTTAGACTCATGTTCAGGATGTTTGGTATGGAGTTGTATGCTGTGGATTCCTTGCTCACTCAGCCTGCTCACCCAATGTCATTCTGCTCGAGGTCATCAAACCCGAACCCTGTATCTCCACCGGTCACACCTGTGAATAGGCCTCCTTCTTCAAGGTCCCCTCCAACTTTCAACCTTCCACCATTGCCTCCATTGCCTCCAACGCCCTTCACTGAGGCATCAGCATGTCCCCACCAGTAAGTTTTACTCTTTAAGGCTCATTTTTTGGGGGATTTATCGCATATCAATTAGCTAAGCTCACAGGTAGAGACTTACAGGTATGGCCTGGCGTATCTGTATGTATTTGTGTGAGCATATTACGTGTATATTAGACTTACAAGTGTAAGATTTTCTACTTACTCGTGCAAGATTACACGAGAAATGGACCCACATATTGGATCTTGATTACACGAGAAATGGACCCACATATTGGATCTTTTAGGGTTCGTTTGTTTTGTTATTTTGGATAAGATTTTAGGAATAATATTGGGTAGTTGAATAGGGTGAGTATTACGAGGTAAAATTTAAAAACTAAAAAAAAAAAAACCGTAGGTTTGTTAATTTAACTAAACTCCTCAATATATAAATTTTTTATAAAATAACAAAAACACCCCCCACCCACCCACAGTGTCAGATTCCGGCCACCACCATCGGAATCTAGCCGGAAAATGGCGTTACGACGCAGACTGGTCGGATCTAGCGGGTAGGGTGTCGATATGGCTTTTTCCGGCCAGATTCGTCTTTTCTAGATCTACGGCTAGATCTAGCCGTCGACGGTCGCAAAAGTCCAGATCTGGCCGTCAACGACAGCTAAAGATATGGCCATCGTTGTCGATCAACGATGGTCAAGATTTGGTTGTTGTTGACCGTCAACGACGGCCATTTCTTTGGCTGTCGCTGACGGCCAAATCAATGAATTACCAGCCAGTTTCGATCGTTTGTAGGCCATTGTGACATATTCCGGCTAATACCGACGGTGGTTGCCGGAATCTAGCAACTATGGGTGGGTGGGGGTGTTTTTGTTAATTTTTCAACTTTTTTTGGGGGTATTTAGTGAAATTAATAAACTTAAGGGGTCTAAAAGTAATTAAAAAAATATACTATATATTTCTTAAATAATTAAACAAACAAATATTTTAAGAATAGGATTGAGAATATAGATAGGAATACTAAAACAAACGCACCCTTAAATGTTACTAACTAGATAAAGTGATTTTTCTTTTTTTTTTTATATTTTATGATCGAGGTATATATGCCAGCTTACGAGTATCTTAACTAATCTTTCAAGACCTTAGAATTATTGGCCGGATAAATACTCCAATGGCTACTCTTATTAGCATTTGAGAAGGGACTCAAACTCAGGACCTTCTGAGTAATACACCCAAGAGTCTCACTCAAACCATTCGGCCATCTAAAGCTGCTTTAGATAAAGTGATTGCACATGGGATTCGTAAATTGAATAAAGTGAAAGCCTAAATTAACATCTTAGAACTAGAGTTTCACAAGGAACTTGTATAAACATCTTCTAGAAGACAGCTTTTTAGTTGGATGGTCGGTTGTGTTTTATGTGTCCTCCATAATTACAGATTAATTAATGAGGCATGGCTAATGGCTTGAAAGATGATTTACCCATTACTTGCTTTTATGGTTTAAATAATTTTATGATCAGGAACTGGACAAAGCCAGAGTACAAATGTTACTGGAGAGGGCTGAGGCCTGATGCCAAAGTAGCTCTCGTTTTCGGACCAGCGGCAGCTCGGCGATACGGGACAAAAATGACATTGTGGGAAGGACTGCAAGGGAGGGGAGATCCCTACAGGACTCTCTTAAGAGAAGCAACAACTGCACTTTTAAACTCACATAACAGTCTTGAATTCCCTTATAATACAGTTGGTGTTGTGACTCATACGAATCGGGCATTGAGGGGATCTTCCAGGAGTGTTCTCCTTACAGCTTTCAGGTTCCTGAAGGCTAATTCAGGCTCTACTGGCAAAGTCTCTTGCAAACTCACGCCTTGCAAGTGATGGGCATTTATCAGTAGTTGTTTTCTTTATATTATATATTCACCTTCTTAGGATTAATCCTATAGATTCTCCTATATTGCAAATTTAGATTATTTGTGTGTGTTATTTTTAGCTATTGATATATGTTTGTACCCAATAGATTATGTGTTGTTGATT